GACCATGGGCGTAATTTCTGACACTGGTCACTGAGGGCGAGCGAGAAATTCACACAGGGGAAAATTTTTAAGGTGAAAATTTACGATTTTTGGTACGATCTTTGGAAGGGCTCGGCGGAGCGATATGTTTTTTTATCAATGGTATGTTGTTTTTCAGGAGGAAGCGAATAACTGCCGTAATATATGGCGCACGATGAAGTAGTATCAGATTTGAGGTTGACCTTGTATATGATGGAAATTAAGATACGTGCAGAATATGCCTGACAATTCGTGCAAGGAGTGGGAAGATGTGGTGCTGGCGCCGGGCATGCCATGTGTGGTTATGGCAGCTCCCGGTAGTAGTAGTAGTAGTAGTAGTAGTAGTAGTAGTAGTAGTAGTGGTAGTAGTAGTAGTAGTAGTAGTAGTAGTAGTAGTAGTAGTAGTAGTAGTAGTAGTAGTAGTAGTAGTAGTAGTAGTAGTGGTAGTAGTAGTAGTAGTAGCAGTAGTAGCAGTAGTAGTAGTAGTAGTGGTAGTGGTAGTAGTAGTAGTAGTAGTAGTAGTGGTAGTAGTAGTAGTAGTAGTGTTGCAACGTATGGTCGGTTCCCTTAGCTGATCATAGGATCTTGTAGGTGAACCGGATGAGAAGTTTGCAAAAAGCAGCTAGAATTCCCCAAAATTTCATTAGAATTTTCATATCTTCCTTGTGCAGTTTTCACCACACTTGAGTGAAAGCTTCCTCTAGAGCGAGGGCGTGATTGTTGGTTGTGTTAGGCATGTTGCAAAGTGGAACTAGTCGGGAGCTGTTCGAGCAGTGGGCACCAGATCCTAAAAACGGGGTAATGGTAGTGTTGGAGGCATATATGTTTGCTCGCCTCAGCTGAGCTCAGCATTATAAAAGTTTTCATATGAAATGAGAATTTCTTGAAATTTTCTCAGAATCTTTTTCGAAGGAAAAATGTGAGTTTTGGTTTTAGGTTATTATTACAGGATATAGTGTATCGGGCACTCTGGCACATGATTTGCAGAATGACCCCGATACGTTGACTCTCACGGATGGGAGGAAGCTGCCGGTACGCTGTTCGACGAAGACTATCAGCTTCTCGGCACATAGTGATTATGGACAGG